AACTTTAAAACAATCTTAAACATATTTCAATAAAAAAGAACGAGACACAAATCATTGTTCACAAAATAAATAGAAGAAGAAGAGAAAAAGTATTGTAAAAAAATCCCCCTGTGTATTGAAAATGTAGTAGAGAATTTCTGTATAAAAGAAAAAAGAAGTAACATCTCCCCTTGTATGTTAGGGCCTTAGGTTTGAATACAAAGGAATTTCCTGACCCTCAAAAACTTAAAAAATGGAAGTAAATGAACACCTAGGAAATTTAGAAGAACAAAAGAAAACAAATATTTTAAACAAAACTATGTATTTTTGTAACAGTGTGATTGTTGTAGTGTTGGGAAAACGCCCAAAAACAGAAAATAAAAGTAGTTAGTTGTCAAGGAAAGAAAGTTAGTAAGTAAAAAAAAGGAAGAAATTAAAAAAAAAATATTTTTTTGTTAAAAAAAAAATAATTGGTAAATTAATGATGATATGTGAACAGTATTTAATATAAGAAAACTTAAAACAAAATAAGTATAAATGCAATATTTTAATGTAATTTAAGTTACTTTTTATTTTTTAGGGGATTTAGAACAAGGATTTATATTCCTATTTAATTTATTTCGTATTTTATTCACATGCTTTATTGCATAAGGATGTAAAATCGGCCCCAAAATGATTAATAAATTAATGATGATATGTGAACGGTATTTAATTTAATTAATTATTTCATATCGAATGCTCTGTACATGTACTGTAGAATGTTAACACGGTAATGGGGAGTTTGTCACTCGAGTGTAAAAACGGCATATAGAGCGTTTAAATTAAAAATTGTAGTTTTTCCGACAACTGTATTTAACGGTATTTAATTTAATTAATTATTTCATATTTACTTTTATTCATTTGTAAAATAATTTGTATTTTTCTTCTATTTATTCTTTTTTACAAGAAAAAAATTGGCAATATTTGAATATAATTTCATTATATTTATATTTAGTTTATTCTATTTTTAATATAATAAATATTTTTTTTCTCTTTTATAAGAAAAAATTAAAAAAATTGTTTCGAATAAAAATTATTTGATAAATTTTTGATGATATGTGAACACTGTGTAATAAAACATGTTAACAAAATGTTTATTTATACTTAATTAATTTATTTTTTATTGTTTTTCCGTTTAAACAAGCATTTTTTATTAATTTTTAATAAAATACCCATTTTACTCAACCTCTTTATGAAATTCACGTGTAAAAACGCCCTAATAACAACGTGTCATCATTGAGGGTGTGTAACCATGCCTTTCTCTCAATTTCAGCCCTGTAAATGCGCTGCACTATGTAAACACTATAATGTGGCGTTGTCACACCGTGTAAAAACGCCACATAGAGCATTTACATTATGAAAGAGGGCCTTTTTGTGACATTTTAAAGCGGAAAACAAGGTTTTTAAATAAAAATGAAAATATTTTGGTAATTATAATGAAAAACTGAAAAATCTGGGGGCTTTATATTTAGAAAACTCTTAGTTTAAAATGGAAAGTTCACATTTTGGGGGGAAATATTAAAAAAATTAATTTTGATTTATATGAACTCCTTGTTTTTAAATCCCTTATAATTATTTTTTTATTTTTTTTTTTTCATAACAATAATAAAAAATATTCTAAATTATCCCTCACTAATGATAATTTAATTAAATTACTATTATGTATAACTACAACAAAATATACAATTTTTGTATCTTTTTACCACAAAACTGTATTATTATAAAAAAAAATATTTATATAAATTTAGAGCTCAAGCTTTGTAAGCCACTAAATGAAATTCTATTGAAAGAAAAAATCGGAAAAAATTAATTAAATAAAAAAGCAGAATAAGCAAAATGTCCAAAAAATCAACTAACGCTTAAAGAAAAAACAAACAACTAAAACAAAGTATTAAAAAAATGCACAAATAAAAGAACAACAAAATCTTTAGATGAGATTTTTTTTGAATAAGAATTAAAAAAAAGAAATATTCTTTCTTTTCGTCTAAGTTTAGCTTAAGCTATAGGGGGTTTAGTTAACCCCTTATGTCCAAAATTCGAATTTCGAAATAATTACACAAAAGAAGTGGAATGCAAACACATTAAATTTATTAAATTTTTTGGTTTAAATTAAATGTGAGGTTATGTAAACCACACATGGGTTTGTTTTTTTTTACAAAAAAAGTCTGTTTTTATACTTGAAAAAAAAACAATAACAACATTTTCTAAATAATTTGCCTGTGAACAAAACTAAAAAAAAATAAAACAATATGTTTTTTTTTGTATTGCAAAAAATGAAAATCTAATAAATTTAATAAAAAATATTAAAACAAAGCTTCAACAAATGAAAGTAATAAAAACTATTTAAAGAAAAAACAAATTGAACTATTATTGCTTGTTACAAAAAAATATATACAAACAAGAAAACTGAAAACATTGTTATAACAAGAAAAAAGTAAATCTGATATATACGCTAAAATAAACGTGTAAAACTATATAACAAAAAATATTATGTTTATTTAGCCGCTTCTTAAAAAAAAACAGACAAAAAAAATGAAAAAACTGAAAGTTATAAAAAACCACACATATATTCATAAGATAAGTAAACTATTTATTTATATACATGTGTATTTAATCGTAAATATATATATATATATACATTTAATTTAGCTTATAAGCCTTTGAACCGATCAGCCACAACCACTCCAAAGATGAAAAAAATAAAAAAATCCAAAATTGAACACGTTAAATAGTTTGTCATAAAATATATATCTATGTATGTAAAACGATTATCAAAAAAAAATCCAACACCCGTTTCAAAAAACCAAAAATAAATAATTGCAAATTTTGCTTGCAAACTGTAAAACCGCCTAATTACACAAACAAAAAAAATATATATATTTAAAAAAAAGCCCGAAATGGAATCAATAAAATTGTCATCAAATCAAATAACATTTATTTAAAATAAAAAAATAAACAATTTGGTTTTATTTATAGAGCAGAAAGTACCCATTTTCCGTGTAAAAACGGTCTATAAATTACGTATTATCATTGGTGACAAATAACAACGCCATTCTCTAAAGGGACGTTGTCACACAGTGTAAAACGAATAACAGAGAGAATTTTGGGTCATTTGGGAGGAAGTTGTTGTGTAAAAACGGTGCATAAATAACGTATTATCATTGGTGAAAAATAACAACGGCATTCTCTAACACAACGTTGTCACACAGTGTAAAAACGACTAAATAGGCTTTTTGGTCATTTTGGGAGAAATATTAGGGGAAAACATGAGTAGAAAAAATATTAAGAATATACAAATCAGTTCCGAAAATATCCTCTCTCAATTTAGCAAAATGTTCATATGGAAAAATTCAATTTGGTGTTTTTTTTAATGGAATTAGTTAATTTAAATCATCGATTTTTTTCTATAAAAAAAAACGATTTTATAGGAAAACACAATTCAGCAAATTTATCTACAGAGAAACTTAATTCAGCGAAGATTTTCTAAAGAGGGTTTTTTATAGAAAAATTTAATTTAGCGAAGTTTTTCTACAGAAAAGGATAATTCATCGTATTGAAATAGAAAAATATTAATTTAACGATGATTTTCTAAAGAAAAACTCAATTCAGCTGAAGTTTTCGTGTAAAAACCCTACAGAAAAGGATAATTCATCGTATTGATATAGAAAAATATTAATTTAACGATGATTTTCTAAAGAAAAACACAATTCAGCAAAGGTTTTCGATGTAAAAAGCCCATTCAGCCAAAATTTCTTCCGAAAAAAGTCAATTCAGCGCTGTTTTAGATTAGAAAAAGCAATTTTGTATTTTTTTTAGAAAAAAAACTTAATTCAGCGTGGATTTTCTATGGAAAATCTCAATTCAGCGAGGGTTTTCTATGGAAATACTCAATTCAGCAAGGGTTTGCTATGGAAATACTCAATTCAGTAAGGGTTTTCTATAGAAAAATTAAATTCAGCGAAGTTTTTCTATAGAAAAACACAATTCAGCGTATTTATCCAGAAAAAAAATTAATTTAACAAACATTTTCTAAAGAAAAACTCAATTCAGCAAAGGTTTTCGGTGTAAAAAGCCGATTCAGCTAAATTGTCTTCCGAAAAACACGCAATTCGGCACTGTTTTAGATTAGAAAAAAAACAATTTTGTTTTATTTTTTTAGAAAAAAAAACTCAATTCAGCGAAGGCTTTCTATAGAAAAATTCATTTCAGCGAGGGTTTTCTATAGAAAAACACAATTCAGCGAAGGTTTTGTACAGAAAAACTCAATTCAGCTAGGTTTTTCTAAAGAAAAACACAATTTACCGAGGATTTTCTATGGAAAAACTCAATTCCGCCAGGGGTTTCTATAGAAAATATCAATTCAGCAAGGGTTTTCTATGGAAAATTTTGATTAATCGATTTTTTCCTAAAGAAAATCTTAATTAAGCTAAGTTTTTTCTATGGAATAACTCAATTCGACGAGGTTTTCTATAGAAAAACACAATTTAGCGATGCTTTTTGTAGAAAAATTCAATTCAGCAAAGGTTTTATATGGAAAAATTTAATTCAGAGAATTTTTCTAGAGAAAAACTAAAATTAGAGATGTTTTTTCTCAATTCAGCAAGGGTTTTCAGAACAAAAAGCCAATTTAGCGCTGTTTTACTATAGAGAAACTCAAACTAGAAAAGTTTTTCTAAGCAGAATCCAATTCAGCAAACTTTTTTCCATTGAAACAAGAGAATTCAGTAAACATTTTGTATATCAGGTCAATATCTAGAGAAATTTTTCTCTATATAGGAAGTCGAAAAGACCTCTGACAGGTCTTCTATGTACAGAAGAGATCTGAAAGGTCTTCTAACGCTAGAATACTTTGAAAGGTCCTCCAAGAGCTATAAAATATATAAAAACTGAAAGACCTTTCTCTTCTATTTTTAGTGAATTATTTCAAATATTTTTTTTTTTAAAATCATAAAATTATTTTAAACGCCCTCGTTAATTAGCTTTTCATTCCGACATTAGCTGTTTATTCTTTTCATTTTGTGTATCGATACGATTTTTAACAAACTGTTGGAAATTTTGTTCTTCCGTTTGTTCAACTTGATAGGTGGATGGGGCCTCATCCTCGTTGCCTTCTTCATCTTCGGAACTTTCATTGCCCGGATGTTTTAAATAGACATCGGAAAGTTCGCGACCACTGGAAACCTGGAAGAAAAAATTATGCATTAAATATTAAATGGTTTAAATAATATTTTCAAATATAAAAAAATAAATTGTACTGATGTTTCTGGAACCAATCTTGGTATCCATTCATGTAAACAAATTTAAAAAAAAAAATGGATTGTAGCCCTTGAAATTTGTTTTTTTTTCAAATGTGGAGAGTTTGCGTTGTTTTTTTAATTTAAAAATCTATATGTTCCCACATGTAGTGTAAGTAATATTGAACTCCTTTCTCTCACCTCCTCCACAAAGCCCGTCAATTTAATTTCGCTGCCAGCACCTTTACTTTTGGCAATGGTTTCCAATTTCTCTTCTTGTTTTTTGGTTTGTTCCTTTAGTTTTTCTTCGCGTAGTTTGTTGTATTCAGCTTTGTAATCCCTAAAAATA